ATGCAGGCCTAGAACATCTCATTCAAACATACTGCAAAGATTTGCTTACCTGTTCGTTAGGCTCAAAGCTTATCTCTTCTTTTTCCGTCCTCATAGCTATTAACTTTGTGCTACCGGAAGGGTCTGTCTTACTGTCCAGCCGCTCCAGTTTTGGGGGTATGTCTGGTAAACCAATATCTTTAGTATCATCTTTATCTAGCAAGTAGCGAAGTAGTGCATTATTATTCTTCTTAGGACTTGCTGGCTCCTGTTTAACAGTCACCTCTGAACCAGGAGCTGTGCTACTGGACTCCTGGTTCAGTTCTTTGCCTGTGGCCTCTGCTGTGAGCTTGGCCAAATCTACAGGAGAACTACTGTCCTGCAATAGTCTGTGCAAAATTTTATGCTTCTCCTTGAGCGAGGTTCCATGTGCTGAACCAGACCCAGGCAACCCTCCCGTGGAGTCCTTGCTAACGTCTCCCATGGTACTGGACAAAGGCGAAGGCTCCATCTGATCCGATTTGGTGGTCAGCAATTGTAAGAGCTTTGTCTGGCTTTTTCCATCGTGCAGTTTATTCTGTCCATCAGGTCTCTCGCCACTGACAACCGGTGGCATGTTGCTTTCGCTGTTATCTTTCTGTTCTCCTGAATGGCAGCTGCTCTCTGCTTGTCCAGTTGTACCTTCTGATTGCTCCCCGTATAGTCCAAAGCAGTCTTTAGAGTCCAGGCTACCCATCTTGCTTAGCTGGGGAGGATTCATATTCACAGGGGAATTTTGTAAATTTCCCATTTTTAGGTCAGGTGAAGCCAACGACGATCCTAGAGAAACGCCATGGCCCTCGCTGAGGGCCTGAAGTGCGTTCAGGGAACTGTTGGTGTAGTTATGGCTATTTCCTGTGCTGCTGCAGACTCCCACAGGTGAATGCAAGCTTCCTGCAGGGGAGAACTGACTGGGTGGGATGCGAGGGCTGCCTGCCACTCCAGGGCTCACACGATGCCTTGGGGAAAGCATAGAGTTTGGCTGCCCTGGGTTCATGCCGGGGCTGCTTTGTGAGGGGCTATTCATTTTTAGTGCATAGTTACTACCCTGAGGAGTGGATGCTTGTATGCTTGACACATGGTTCATTCCCCCTGAACCACCAAACCTGCCTGCTGGCATGCCCATTTGTTCCTTTGGGCCGTTTATGGCAAAATTTATATTGCTACTGATGGTCATATCCTGACCTGGGTTCCCACTGCACATGCCCTGATGGGCAGGGCTGCTGGAGCTAATTGGGTTCAATATCTTCCCCATTCCTTGTCCAGTCAAATCCTGATTCATTCCACAGACGTTCTGCTCTCTATGTGGCAAGGGGAAGAAAAACAACCCATTAGCTAAAATGACGGTGGCCAACTTGCAATTACATTACAGAAGAAGCAGCAAAATCCCAAACCTTGCTTTAAAATAACACAACAAACCTACAATTAAATTGACAATTTGACAAAAGTGATATGCAACTCCCAACATGGCTGCACATTAACAGTATGGTTTTTCAGTACCTCATTAACAAATCAGTGGAAGAGAGAAAAAACAAAATTATACCTCATTTAAATGACAGTCATTAGAAATGTAGATAGGTTACAATACAGTTCTGCAATAGCTAACTTCTAGAACTGACAGAAATCTTATCCGAAGCATATGACCCAAACAAACACGTCTTACAAGACAGCTGTGGACAGCTGTTTGAAGGAGTTTTGAATTTCTATGGGTTAGCCCCACCACAAGTCCAGAGTGGGCCACTTGCCCACCAAGTTCATAGTGAAAGGAAAGTTGAAAAAGTCGCATTTCTACACTGCCAGAGTATTTCAATACTGCTCCAAAAAAGCATGTGAGCCAAGAGAACTACTGGATACTACTTCAGAATGGGAACAGTCTGTTAGCAATTGTCCTGCATGGGCGTTCAGGAAAAGAGGAGAAGAAAGAAAAACCCCCACACATAGGAGCTGAAACTCATATTTTAGAAATGTAGGCTGTAAGACAGAGGAAACAGAAGAGACACACACACAGAGAAAAAGCTCTTGTGAGAGCACCTGGAGATCACTTCTCTTTTCCTCAGGAGATTTTAATTAGTTTATGGGAGGATGCACTATACTTTTTACTTCTGGGCTAAAACTTAAATCAGAAAAATCAGACATATTCCCAAATGCTAAAAGCTATAAAAGAGACAGTGTCAAGTAGATTAGGACGAAAAAAATTAGGTTCTGAGAAAAATCAAATCAACTCTGGACTTTCAAAAACAAATACTAAAGGAACATTGCTAATATGTGTTTTCCATGAGATGAAAGCCATCCCTGCTTGCACAAGATAAACCTTCACATTTTGTTAAAGCATGAGAAGTGAAAGAACTGAAGCATGCAGAGTAGCGAAGCTTGTTACTCTGTATTTGTTACCTTAGGTATAAAGGCAAAAGTGAATGACATGAACTATAAAACGAGAGGTTGGTTTTTAAAACTTTATTACAAATACAATAGTACCAGTGTTCTGCTAAAAAATAGCAAGAAAATCTGCAAGTACCATTTTTAACTTAATGGTGCTTTTTAAAATTTAAAATGTAGCACTTCATGAAGTACCAAGCATCTTCAGCAATCCAAAGAAAACTAATTTCAGACAGCTTTTGGTCAGGTCAGTTTCCAAATCTACAATCTCTGTAGAATGGTTTCAGTTTTAATTACGTTTAGAGGTGTTTTCTTCCTCTCAAAAAAGTGATACTGTGGATACAGGGAGACAGCATTGTAATTGTAATCAGCAAATAAAACCTGAAACAAAATCTGCCACAAGTATGCCAGGACATGCAATGACTTAATTCAAATTTCATGTTGGAAGTTCTGAGGTCAGTGATTACTTATCCTTGACTTTAACGTATTATTGTCTGTGCGTTTTTTCTTAAAAACTAATAGTGGTGACATTTCTCAGGATTGGACATATGAAAGCCACTACTCCAAGCACCAGAAAAGACAAGGAATGAAGAGAGACAAGGAATTAAAATATGCAGTTTGTCTAAAATGCAGTTCTAATAATCATAACATATTCTTTAAAGAAGACCCAGGCCCAACATATGACTGACTGTGAACTACAGGAATTTAATCCTTCAAAGTTTTCTAGATTTAATTACATTTGGAAAGTTTTGTGTGTCTACTATGCAAAATACAGGAAATTAAAATACTGAAATTAAGAACATGAGATTAAAGGAAATTTTGTATGTTTAATGGAAGATCTTGATGTGAAAATCCAGCATGCCATTTGTAAGCCCTGAAACAATCTTACAGTCTTTTCCTACTGTAAGCACTGAATTCAAAAACTTATTTTGTTTTCATGCTATCAGTTCTAGGTCAACTGAACATCTATCAGCCTTAAACAATCTATTTGCTTTGGCAACTTTTTACTTTCCCCGTCTCTCTGCAGAGCGTGGATGTAATAAACCAGTGAGGATTACCTGTGAAGCATATGCAAGGAGATTACAAGTTGAGGTTCACTAGTCGTCTGAGAACGGATGAGCTTGCTCTTCGTTTGGGCAGAAACGATAGTGCCATCGGACAAGGAAAACCGATAAACAGGACTAAATGCTAGTCCCTGCCTCAGCACTGCAAGCAAGCAAAATAACAGAATTAAATTAATGAGGTACTACAGTACAGGTAGCTTAGTTGCTCAACATCTGATGTTCTAAATCCATCAGCACTGATACCACAGACATCGTGTTAATTTCTTCAAAAAAACCAAACCAAACCAAACTGAACACAGAAGAAAAATTTCGAAAATAAATAGATGGGATGCATATAAAATAAAGGATCCCACATGCTGTAGGGTGATCAAAAGAAAACTGATAAGGAGTGACAGCAAGTACAGGACAAATACTATGAAATACAGAATATTTCAGGAGTGCACCAAGAACTCCTCAGTGTCCATTTCACTTTTCATCAAATATGTGTCTAACTCCCTTTGTTCCTCATACGTTTTTTCATCTGTATCATCTACATCACGATGATTAATATAAATGCCTTTAGTTTCTAGATCATCTGTTTCCATTAGCCTGTATATTTTCCTCCTTATTGCCTGCTTAAATTATCTTGTAACAGTTACTCTAACTACTTATTTAATTTAAAAAGTACATAAATCTCTTACACGAGAACAATTAGAAATAAGAACAACTGGAACAAGAAATTATTACTTTTTAAAGTACAAATACAAAAATATACAGTGCAAACAAATTACAAATACAATTACCTAAACCAAAAATGGGGCTGTGCTATCCTTCCCCAGTGTTAGATATGACTGCATTTCAGTTTTGGGGTTTACTTCAATGCACATATTTTGCAGCCCTTAAGTTTTCAGCGTAAATCTGAACTTGAGCAAATTCAGTTCTCTAACTTCTGTAAACCCTTGTGACATTTCTTTAATTAAAAATGAACATCATGTTATGGAAAAACAAATCTCCAAACATTTATTCTACTGTTCACTCTTTGCCATCAATGAAACAAGTCTGATCATTTTCAATTCCTAGCAGATATGGCAGGAGGGAAATACTTAACTTCAGAATTTTCATATAATTGTCTAGGGAAAAAATAGGAATGAAGCACTACAAATACTTTTAATTTCCTATTTTTTCATACATACACATTTTCTGCGGTTTTGGTTCTCTTTCTTTTTTTTTTAATTAGTAGTATAATCTGATCTTCATTTCATTGCTTGTCTTTTAATATTTCCTGTTGTAATGAAATGACATGGTTTTCCGAGTGTGGCTTTATTAAATAGTCTCCTCTACAGAGCTACCAGATTTTCAGCCTTGCAGGACTGGTTATGATTGTTTTCTTCCCCTGTCCCCCGCACTGTTATATATTGTTCTGCAAGGTTTTAAAGTATTATTTAGGCAGTGAGAAAACAGGAAGCACAATTTAAACAACCAGAAGGGGTTTTTCAGAGTAAAAATGTAAAGAAAAACAAAAACCTACAACTGTGAAACAATACAAAGCAGAATTTCACTGTTAGGTATGTCATTGTTTCAGTTTAACCTTTGGGCACCAGAAGGTCCAAAACTCTTAACTTTAGCATATACCACATCAGGAAATTCCAGTACTCAATGCCAACAGGATACAAGTGAAATCTCTACTTAAATCATTTTCCAAACTAATTCTTTAAGCAAACAAGAATGTTTCCGTATTCCTCTTGAGGAAATGCTATTTTTCTGACTGCGGCCAATAAAAACTTACCATATATTTTGCACTTTATACTGAGAGTTACTTTGAAAGCTTTGTGGTTTTTGCTGTTTATTAAGCTAATGCTGATTCTTTTTTTCACACTGCAACACTGTACATGTAGGACACCATTACTTTCTTTGCTTCTATTCTCAAACCATAATGACTTAAAAAATGCAAGGCATTCTTCAGTCAAGTGCAAAGATGCTACTGCCCAAGATATGCCTTGTTTTTCTTCTCTATACTGCAGGGCAGGGGAAGGAAACATTTTAGCCATTACTCTTCTCTAGTGCTGGATCCTTTGCAGCAAAGCAATTCCAGAGGTTTTTCCTCCTCCTCTTATCACTCACTCTCTTCGCTTCCACAAGAAGAGCCCCCTCATTTAGACTAATTCTACAGTTTATATAACGATCCTAAGCCTCTCCTGAAGAATGATAAAGTGTAAACTCCAAAACACGTATATTTTTATCACTTCACAGATAGCTTAGAGAGGACCCATTCAAACCTAAGCACTGGATGTAGGAGCTGCTAATTTGGTCAGGAACCATTTGAATGGGACGGAAGTAACAAGTGGCTGGATGCCATAACAGAAACTCCTAAAACACCTTTGGCACAGACAGGTCCTTACCTGAAACCGCTCTCTAAACCCCTGCTGTAACTTTGATTGCATACTACCTTCTTCAGCTCTGTCTGAAATCACAGCGTAAGGCTGTGAACTTTTAGCACTCCTAGTCTATATATCCCAAAAGCTGTTGTCTAAAATATCACAGTGTTTCTGTGCCCCCACATTCCCAACATGAAACCTGAAGGCTTCATGAAAGCAGAACATATTAAAGAATATTAATGCTGCATGACTAAAGCTTTTTTTTTTTTTTTTTTTTTTTTTTTTTGGTGTATTTGGTGGAATAATTTGAGATTCCAGTAACAATTTCATTTCCAAGACAGCATGCCAATTGCCAGCTGTAAACCCTGTTCTACAAACATGAACCCAAAGAACGATGCTCCTGTGCTGAAAATGTTCCAGTTATTCCCCGTTGGTTTTGAAAGGACTTTCCTGTGGACTATAAAGGGTTATTTGTTTTTAGTAATTTGGATCCATTACTAGAATTAGCAGTATCAGGGTTTTATGGAAAGAAAAATCCCCACCCAGTCACTACCACGGAAACCTCATGGGGAACCTTTCACAATGCAGTACTCTCCTACATCTTACCTACCACAATCTTGACTGAGTAGATGTGCTTGTGGTGTATCCCATAACACTTATCAGCTACATACAGTACAACAACGTAGGTTTCCAGACAGCACAAATGCTGCATCTCTGATAATTCACACTGAGTGTTTCTCACAGGAAATGTGACAGTAAAAGTCCATTTTGGTAGAGAAAAGGAATACAGGTCAACAAACTGCAATGTGTGAGTTGAGGTTCTGAAGAATAATGGGTACTGAATGTTTTGGTGGGCAACATGCAAGGGTCTTTCTTTCTAAAATACTTGCAACGCTTTGAAGATTTAAAGCACCCTCCAATATGGCATAGTTACAATGAGCAGGCTAAAACAGAGAGAAAAGTGCAAAACCTCTCCAGAGAGAGCCATCAGTGTGTTAGGCAAATCAGCTTGAAAAAGGGACTGTCAGTAGCCTTTCACTGTTCCATATAAACATAACAAAGAGAACACAACCAAGAGATACAAATGACAACCAGTTTAAATATAGAAAGTGCTAAAAATATGAAACCTAACCTTCCTGGTGATGCCTCTTGGCAAAAGATATTTCTCCCTCGTGCTGCGAATGGAACCGCTGAATGCATCTTCTCACCAAATCCTCCCAGCCAGGTTTCATAGCTGCTCGCATGGTACTTGTGTCCAGTGAAGTTATTTTGCCTGATATTAGATAAAACATTTGTTACAGCAATTTCCCCTTGCGGGGGTGGGGAAGAAATTAAAAACTCGTATTTCACAATACCTTGTAAATCCTGGCGAGTAGTAAAGCTCTCTGATGAAGGAAGAAGTGGTCTTTCCTTCATTGGAGCTCTTCTTGCAACACAAATCAAGCAAGACTGCAAATCTTAAAAGAAAAATGTTACTTCAGTAATTTGTACAGAAGAGGAAGATTTTGTTTCTACAAAGAATTCAGAAGTATTTTTTAAAAATTCTTTAAATATTTTTAGACCAAAAGAATAGATTTTGTACCAATAAAAGGACATATAGAGCTCAGTGGTTTTACATCTTCATTCTTTCCTATAACATTAAACAAGACTGGAGAGGTGTTTTTTTCTTTTTTCCTTTTTTAGAAGAAAAATTATCAAGGACTCCACCACAGCCCATAATTATTGGCATGTGTTTATGCATATACCTGTAAGCAGCTCAGCCCCTCAGGAGATAAGTAATAAAAAAGAATATACTGCACACACAGAGAGCACATTTCTTCAACACTCACCATTTTGTACCTTCTAAGCCACATTTCTTAAACATGCCCCAAATGCTCGCTGTCCCTGAGAAAGCAGCTTCATAATAAGCCATTTTTACTTATCTGAATACTTAAAATACAATCTAAGGAAATTTACCTGCTGAAGTAGTAAATGGTAAAGAACATGGTGAACCGCAATTGTCTTCAAATCCTAAGAACTCAAAAAATTGAACTTTCCTCCCAGTCAGATACATTCTTCTTACAATTGCAGTGATATAAAACTAGGATATCTCTTTAATATAAACAGTTACTCTCAATTTCAGTTACATTGGTTTAACAAATAGGTGCATGCAAGTGTACACACTCATGACCCAAGATGCAAGTACACTTCTAAAGTTAAATGAAAAACAAAACAAAAAACGTACAATTTTTCCATTTTTCGGGATTCAGAAGCCACTTTATCAACTTTACCTCACACTATTAACTGCACCGAAACTGCTGTCGCACAACAGCATGGAAAGAGAAAATACTAACACAAACTGAAAGCAGTAATTACCTTCACCGTCCTCCTTGAAGGAATTTGGTTGAGAAACAGCAAAGCACTGCATAGTTTCGTATTTCTGATGTGCTTCCTGGTTATCGTGGCCTTCCTCAGAATCAGCAAGAGGTTTTACCAGCATCCGACAATTAAAGGTATGGCTATTACGCCTAGAAGTGTCACCAGACCAAGATCCCCCGTTCACTAAGCAAAGCAAAGATCATATAGTGAGATAAATCTGGTAGCAGTCATTTCTGCTGCTTATCCACAGGAAATTAATCAAGGTGCTCCACAAACTGGTGGGGAAACAAGCTTGTATAACAACAACAATCTATTTTGAATATTAGAGCCCAAACCAGCACATAACAAGGTAGTTTATAAAATTCTCCTATTTTAAGAGCACTGCTAATTTGTTCAGCTATCGTGTTTTTTTCAAGTGACTCATAACGACATAGTAGAAAAGCAGGATAAAAGTCTAAATATCGGTGCATGTAAAAGTTATACAGCACAGTGAAAAGCCTACTGGGTAGATCAAGTTAATTTATATGCCTGGAAGAAATAAGGCAGTATGTAGGATCTGTCCATTGAATTTAAAAGTGATTAATACAAAAGAGACGGCAGCATTGTATAAAAATCTGTGTCCAAATTAGAAATAGAAAGAAAAGAAACCAATAGGTATTTATAAAAACAGGAAGCAATGCAATCAGGAATATATTGAAACACATTGTCTCAGCTACAACAGGAAAGACTGAAGGGATGAGAATGAGCTGGATGCAGTGATGGATAAAACTAAAGCCCAACACAGTGCTTAAGACAAGTAAAAAAGGAAACAAAATCCTGAGATGCACAAATATAGGTACTGGACATCAGTCAGAGTGTATTAATGTAACACCACATAAGGAAAGAGCAGGGTAAAAAAAACCCTCTTCAGTCATAAAATGCAATAAAGGCAGTAATCTACGGGGTTTATCCATTAGAAGTGTTACATTTTCAATTCTTCAGGGGTTTATAAATAAAGTCATAAAATGCTAAAGTGAATTGCATAAAAGTTTTTAAACTGCTGTGAGTAAATGAGGTGCCTAGTATTGACTTTCCCTGTCTTTTCACCTCCTCCAAAAAACAATGACACTAAACCCAATATCAATATAAATGCAAAAAATGGCTGCAACTAACAAACACAGTTTTTCAAAGATAAGGGTAGATATTGGTGAGACTAAAACCATTGAAATAAAAATTCTGCCATAAGGAGTTTTCTGGTTTTTCTTTTATATTCCCCATTTTTTGGGCCATTCTTACAATAACCAGCCTAGACAGAGAGTTCATATAGCTAATGCTGTCTTTTAGTGATTCCCTCTGGAGATCCATTAAAAATATCAGTTAACATGAGTTACTATGAGTAATTTTAACAAAGGAGAATCTGAAAAGAGTAGAGGATGCTTTTGAGAATATTATTAATCATTCATACAGCATATATATACATTAAAAATGTTAAACAGAGTGTATATGATGAAACAAAGTAGTGGAAGGACATTGTTACTGACATGCTGATTTATGAAACCAAAGTTAAATAAGTAATGGTATGATATGAGGAAAAGACATATACCTAAAGATTTTGGCAGCAGGATTTTGACAAATTCATTGTGGTCCCCTACGTGCAGGATGCTATATATGCTTGTGTTCATCAGCTCTTCTTGGTTGTACCTTAGGTACTGTGTCACATTCTCAGAAACAAACACAACATTACCTTCTGGGTTCACTACAAAGAAGAACCCATCTAGGGCCTAAAGGGAAAAAAAAAAAAGGAGAGAGAGAGGAGAGAGAAAGAGAGAGAAACATAATACCAAACAATCAGATTAATAACGAGATATCCAGAAAATAAGTATTTCCTTCAGAAGACATAGCTGAATCTTTCCGCATCCATCCCAGCTCTTATATTCTCGTCTGTAGTAGCAAAGGACACATTTCAGACTGAGCATCTACATTTACTTACATCAAACCAGTGTAAAAGCACAGAAAGGTGCACCCCTTGCAAAATAATGAAAACACATGAAAACAAACCACCACCACCCCGTTCCAAATAAACAAACATACATAATGGAAGAGGTTGCTACCTATCTGCCTGCCTACGCAGCTGGAAACCTGGACCAGAAGCTAGCTCTGCTAAATCTAGAGCCTGTTCACCCCTCTATGCACCACAGCGGGACTGATCCCAGGAAAACATCGTAAGATGTGCTGACACAAGGCAAGGAAAACACTGCCAGAAAGAACGAGAAAGGCTCTGTCCACATCCCCAGCAATGCATCTCATAGAAGTGAGGCCCCATGCAGCCAGGAATATGAGGGGTTAAAAGCAGAGAAGGGCAAAGGGAGCTGCAAGCAGGCAGTGAGCATCCAGGACGGTGCAGCTTTAGTCCCTACTCCCAGGACTGCTTTCATTTTTTTTTATTTGACAGCAGTTTAATTTGGTCCACACATGATCCAGGGAACAGGAACAGGCTTTCACCTCTTCAACTCAGCTCCATGGTATTCCAAAGGACTTAAAGTTTCTGCAAGGAAGTGTCTAAATTAGTCATTTCTGCTGATTGGTTTCCCCTCTCATCTCTTGTGATGGTGACAACCTAGCTGAAGCATTCTTTCCAAGACATCTGCTTGGATGTTATCAAGACAAGTTATCAAGTTATCTGAAGCCTAAGCCAAATACTACATCACTTCTACCTGATGAGGATAAATTAAAAATTTGAATATCAGTAAGAACTTCTTATGCAAACTTTCTTTTCCTTAAGATGCAAGCATGACTGTGGATGGTAGAAATATTTCAGAATACATCCCTCTAACTTTATGTCATATAAGCAGATAGAGAGGGATCCTTTTAAACTTAAAAGCACCAAAGCTTTTGGTCTAAGCATTCAATTAACAATTAACCCATACAGACTTCTGCAGCTTTGCCTGATTTATTCACCTTTCTAAGGACTGGTGGGAAATCACTAGCACAGTTGTTAGTTAGGCATCTCCAGAGACAGAAACAAATCAGAAAAACAGACAACCCACGACTCACTATGGGTTCATTAAAAGCAAGCGGATCCGTACTAAACCTGAACTCAGCTCACTGCAAAACAGTCTAACAAGGAGAAGCTGCCATAGCAAGCGTATACAGGCATGTAGCATTTCTGGTATGACCAAACTTGTATACTGTACAACTTGCGTGTTGGTCTTAGCAGGCAGTTCTCAAGTACACAGGCTACAGATACATATTAAAAATATTGTACACTACTGAGCAATTAGCAAATCCAGACAGTACAAGAGAAAGCTAAGGAGGGACCTTATTTCTGTCTTCAGCCACCTAGCAGAAGGCTGAAGAGAAGACAGAGCCAGGCTCTATTCAGAGGTTCACAAGGGAAGGACGAGATGCAACAGACACAGGTTGCAACACAGGAAACTTCATAGAGATACAAAAAAATAAAATTCACCACGAAGGTGGCCAGATATGGGAAGAGGCCGCCCAAAGAGGTTGTGAAATCTCTTTCCCCAGAGATATGCAAACCTCGGCTGGACTTGGACCTGAGCCACCTGCTTTAGTCAGACCTGCTTGCCGTGCGAGGTGGGACTACACAAGCTCCAGAGGTCCTTCCCAAACTAAGTTAGTTAATGATTCTGCTAAAGGGGAGGGATAGTGAAAGCACAACACACAAGCAGAGCGGCTGAGCTCCTGGTTGCCAAATGCTTTGTTTGTTCTATTTTTAAATTACGAAATAATAAAACCCACAAATAAATGTACACGTATATACTTTTCCTGACTGCCTCTAAATTGAGATAAACCAGGTCTTTTTTCCTCCTGTTAATTGTCACAAATTCTAATCTCTGACTTTGTTTTTTATCATTGCTGCCTTTTCATTTCTGATCGTTCTCGGCTTCTCCTGTTAATTCACTTTCTTTGCAGAGCTCCCTCCTTTCCATGCGCTTTCGTAGCATTCATGACATTTTACTGCTGACTAGTATTTAGTTCAACTAACAATGATTCACAAGATTTAATTAATTGAGGCTCTAATACAATTTTCTATCAGCATCTCTGCTAGGGATTAGTGTCTTAGACTGCATTTCATCACTGCTTGAAGCCAATGGAAGCATGACGTCTTTGGTTTAGTCCTCACTACACCATGACAGCTCCTGGTACTGTCTGAGGATACGAAGAGCTGGACCAGAGAACCGAGTTGGCTGAAACCTAATACAAGAAAAAAAAAAAAAAGATGCTAGCCACATCAGTCCCCTGAACTGGCCCACCATGAAACCACATGGCCTTTAGAGCTGGCAGAAGGGTGTGGGTTTGGCTGAACCATTCTGCTTGGCAGCGGTCCACGCTTACATCAATTCAAAGGGATTGCAAAACCAAAGCCATAGCAGATGTTTATCAAAGTCCTAAGGAGAAAACTTTCAAAGGCAGAGACGGCAAGCAAGAGATTATGAGAGTTACTGGCATTCCACAATAATCTTCAGTTTTCCCTACTATTTTCCTACTATAGCAACTTCTTTGGCAAGGAAGTGCTCTCTGCCGTTTCCTCACAGCTGCTTCTTGGGTTGACCACAGAAGTGGTCACCTGAGCCTCAAGTAGCACAGGGCCTTACATCCCAGTCTCCCGTTTCTTTCTATTCGATTAATAATCTTGTAGGTAAACTGCAGCAGACTTTTGAGCAAGTTAATGCACCAAGCCACTTAAATCTTTTAGAATCTTCCGCTTTTGCAATAATTTCTTAATTCTGTCCCCAGATAAATGCGACCACAATAAACAACTGTCCTTCAGAGCTATTGGTACAACGGGGGAACAAATAATGGACAACATGCTGGAAGAGAAAACAAGAGAAGAGATATTATTTTAGATTATATACAGGAATGGAAAATACATTTGTGTTCTTTGAGCTGCTGTCAGCTCTCCCTTAACTGTTTTTTCACCCTCTCTTCCTATCTACTTTCTGCTTCAACCAAGAAATATGTTAAACTATTCCTCACAGGCAGCTGTATGATGAATTTTACTCACTCTCTTCAGCTGGAAACACTCACTATTTTGAGGATTCTTCAGTTTTATTCTTTAATAAAAACAGACAATTACATTTCTAAACCAAATCAACTAATAAACTGTTCATCAGCACTGCCATTTTTATTATTATTTGGCAATGGAAAAGGCTACGTTTTTGAAGAGGTTTTATAGAGGGGTTCTGTAAAGATGAAATAACTTAATTGCATTTTGTTAAGGAGATAAAGACACAAAGAAAGTATCTGTAGTCTTTTCACAGTAAACATATAACAACTTTCAGTCCTTTTAAGTTTCTTGGTGCAAAAGGACCATGGTTTATTAATTTAGTTCCATTATCTTTCATTGTTAATATGCAATGGTTTTACTGCGAAGGAAAACTAAATTAAATGGAATAACAGAACAGACGGGTGATTTTACATGTCATGTTTGCTGCAATAGCCAATCATGCAAGATAAGCCAGGGGAAAAAAAAAAAAAAATCTTATCCTTATTTTCCCTGTGATTAAAACAGCTCCTTACAATTAAATTAATAAAGTTAAAGATTAATTTTAGCATAGCAATGTAAGAGATGGATGTTTAACCTTGTTTGATAGCAAAACCAACAACATTCAATTCAGTAAGCATGTATAATAAATATTAAATTAAATCAATTAATTTGTTACCCCCGCTTTTCAAAGAAGAATGTTTTCACTCCAACCTGTCTAATCTTCCTTATGTTTAGTACTGCGATTTTGGAGCCTTTATTTCATACGTAGTACAGAAAACTATCTTTTCATCTAACAAATCATGAAAAATAATGCAAATACTTAAAACTGTTTTAACATGCATCTTGTTCCTGCAACATTCAGAAATTACAGGATAATTATGCTTCTGCCAAAGTTGGTTCCTTTAGCTTGATTCAGAGTTTGTGTTTTATCTCAAGCAACATTTATTCGTCCATACAGATAAAGCCCACAGTCAGAACAGGAATAAACAGTTTGCAAGTGAGCTTAAGCAGATAAAGCAGTAGTGCCAAAGGACAGTAGCATATGACATTAGGATCCCAGATAACATACCTAGCCAACATTGCTATTAATACATTTAGAAGCTAGGTTTTAACCATGCAGCCTTTTGGGATATCAAAATAACAGCTAAATCAGACAGAAATCTTAACCGAACAAACTGAAATACATGGCTTGAAAAGCTCTCCTAGACTACTTTCATATTCTAGAGGGAAGAGTCATGCTGCAAATGCTGAAATGATAAACCATTAAAACAGTACAGCAATGACATGCAATTTTAGAGGAAGTATTATTCACGTGTATACTACTGTATATGTAAGTCAATGTTTAGGTAGAACAGGTCTTCCAAATCTCTTGTGGTTTAGAACAAATAAAACACGCACATGCAGACACCCAAGACTTGCTACCAACTGAAGCCCCTCAAGGTGTCTGCGTTACAAAGCAGCTGAATCGTCTCTCTCTCTGCCTCTCCCCACCCCAGGTTAAAGAGAGTTTCATCACTGAATGCCATAGAAATATGCTGTCTGCTCTTAAATGACATACACCTAAGTAGCCAGGATGGTTTGTCTCTCTTGACCATTCTTTTACAGCAACTCCCAACTGCACGTTCTCATTTCGTTACACTGCTCTTCATCCTAAGGCGAGCAGAACAGGCTTAAATAAAGGAATTTTGTGCTCTTCACCTCAAGCATCATTGGTCCAAGAGCATCCTTGTCGATGACACTCTGACCCGTAGATGATACATCTGCTTTTTGCACTTCATCTTCATTAGCTGCTGCTGCTTTTTCTGCAATGAAGAAAACTATGTATTAAATGACAGAGCAGTGCTCTTTAAATGATACAGTAACAGCCCACAGAGTATTGAGACCAGCTATGAAACGGTTACAGTGCAACAATACCGAAAACGAGATTAAATAGTCTCCCATAATGATTCAACAAAAGCATAACTAGTATATTTGCTTCTCAGTTCTGAAGTTTTGTGACACAAATGAAATAATTCCGGCTGTTCCTCTGCTAGACATTTTAATAAACTACAAAGCATAACACCGAGCAAAGACACGGGCTCCTCATGAAGGTGCAATGAGCAAAAGCCAGGCTCAAGGTGTATTAAAAGACTGATCTAAAAGAGCATGCAAAGCTCACAGCTGCACAACTTTTCCACGATCGCTATATTTAGAAGGAAAAACATAAGTCCACAATCTACTGTTTCACTACTGAGAAACAGCAGTCTCATTTCTGTTCCCATGCCTCCACCCACATTTTTGCTATCACATAATTTTCATACTGCCTTATTTACCAATATGTTACTAAAACTACATACAATTTCAAGTGCTGTATTTGAAAATTACAGGCAAGAAAACAATGATTTAAGGCTTCTGGAGCATAATGACACGTATTACAGTATGTTATGTACAATATCACAGATCATACCCAACTCCAAATATAAGGCATATTCATACATACTGGAACTTTCGAATCAAGAGTGTTTATAATTCCTATCAAGTAATGGACTGTATTAATTTTTCTATTCCAAGAATTATATTGGTGTTTAAGGGAGAAGTAATAAAAGTAATAAAAACACTATGCAAAATACACATTCTACATTATAAGTTAATGAATTGAGTAATTTTTTGTTGCCAGTTCTATACTCAAAACATTCTTTTATTATTTTCCAAGCAATTATGTAAAAGCTAGGGCTATACTGCAATCTAGAGTATTAAAAATCATTACAGATTTTTTATTTTTAATATTATGCAATAATAAACATGAAAGCACACTGAAATTATGATAACAAGAATTTATGCCTTCTACAACCATAAACCAGAATAAGATTCATTGTAGGAATTATTGAAAGTACCATGTGTGGATGAAGCAAAGGGCCTTTGGAAAATCACCCTTAGTGAAAACTGAAGCATCAGTCATACAAATTAAAATGTATCCAAATGTACAGTATTTTGCACTATCTCTAGATCTGCAATACTGCAGCCAAAGTTCCTCTGAACTCTTTCCTTGGCAGAGGTTATAAGGTCAGTGTGAATATATGCTACTTAGACATACAGCAAAGGAACTGCTTCTGAAAACCCCTGGGTGTTCTCCTATCAGCGATCACCCACTGGCAACAAGGCTTTGGTCACTCAGGCTGTCTCGTCCTAGATTTCTACGGTTTCTGGCTTTCATGAAAAAAAGAGTCACGAACATCTTAGCCGTCTTCTTAGGGTGTGTTCATACACAATATAACAGCATTGTGAATAATGATGAAACAAAATTGTTCTGAAGATGGACTCTTGCAACTAATGGAATAATTTTAAATCACTTTAATTAGCATAATCTGATAGAAACAAATATGCTAGAAGTAACTATTAACTCTTCCTCTGCCACTTAAACTCACCAGGATACAAAATTAGTATTTCTGTTTTGGACTGAGGACTGCAGTGGGATTTTTTTTCCCCCTTTTCTTTCATCTTCTTTTAGCAAAAAGCAGAGATTAGTTGTAGCAGAAAAAAACTGAACAATCCTTCCCACACTACAATATAGCAGAGTTGGCACCATATGATGATACAATACTGAAAACATGTTCTAAAAATTGTGAAAGAATTCTAAAAGATTCTAAAAATAGGGTTGAGCTTTTAATAAAGTCGGCGATGGTATTTGTTTCCCATCTGTTCCTGGTAGCATAAAGTGATCCCTGGTTTCACACTGCAAAATATTATAATGGATACAGATACCAGCTTCCTGCTTTCATCCCCTCACTGCTCCAGCCACTGATACCATCTTGAGTACTGGAGAACAAGGGATTATACCCTATGCGATAGAAATGGAGGGGCTGCAGATATGGTACAGCAGCGGCGTGCAAGCACATTCACTACACGCTATTTCCTGGTTTCACCAATTTACAAAGACTACTTTTACTGACTATTTTTCACATAATACAAAACATTTGCTGAACATTTTTGTCACTCTTGCAACCAAGGAGTTCATACAAACCACCAATAACATATCTATAAAAACAACTGTTCTCTTTTATGCACACAGGCGAGGTTTTATACAAAGAAAAAGGAAAAAGTTTTTAATTACTGTAATGGTAATCAACACAGAAGCTGTGATACCCGGTCAGACCAAGGATCTCTCAAGCCTCATATCCAGTCTCTGAAAGTGGCTGCTTTCCCTTCAGTGTATGAAAATGCTGTTTAGACCTAAACGTTGCCTACCTGCCTCTCCCAGTGATGATGACAACAGACTACACTACTCATGATGTTTGTTGGGCGTTCCGAAAAGCATTATAAATCACAAGTGTTCCCAAATGATGGACTTCATAACTGGATCTGTAACTTCATTGTGTAAGAAGTTAAGTGGCCGGAGAACTTAGAAGAGGCTACACGTTCAGGCCACCGGTCCCTATACATTTATTTAAGCGGCACTGCATAGGAAACCATGTCCTCAGACAGCCTCTAAACAGGACCAGCAGTAACTTACGTCGATGTTAAAAACTGCAGCTACTGATAACGTTAAGCTGTGCAGTAAATTATCCATTTTTGACTGAACTACAAAGCCCCTCGTGAAGGGTCTATCAGCACATACAGGAAAAGTGAGTGCAAACCCTGTCAGCGGTGTTGTCCTGAACGACAGGCATGGGGAACCTCCTGAAATGCAAATCTTTCCTTCGGCGATACAGCATGCGGGGCTAATTGAGAACAAAAATTTGTTGCAGCAAGGTTGGAAAAAAACAACAACTGATACATGAATTTCTAGTGCCGACAACACTCGTGCATTATCACAAGTTGGCATTTTTTGTTTTTCTTAACAGTTCCAGCTCCTGGCAGTACAAGTAGCAGTGCAAAAATGTAAAGTTTACTTTTCCTTTTTTTACTTCTCCTATCTTTTTTAGGTTCACTGGGGGCCCTACAAACATATCGAAAGCACAGAGAGTTTATTATTTCTACACTAGATTAATGATTTTTGAATGTTAGGGGTTAGGAAAATAGCAGCAGAGGCCAAACCTTGCAAAGCCTCTCAGAAGCCTTTTTTCCAGCCCCATGGGAATTGCTGGTATTACCCTGTCACTAACCACAGCCGCTAGATTTTTCCACTGCGGCCACTAACACGGAGAGCGGGAGCCGGTTCCCTGATCTCGCACCTTCCAGTGATGCCGCCTCCTAGAACAGCGATGCCCCTGTTCAAATGTGAAATGCCAGGAAAGCGTTACCAGGCATCCTACAGGCACGGCGGCTAAGGCAGAGCAGAGGTTTAGTATGGAAAGAGAAATACAGCCTTGTGCCGGCGGAGGAAGTGAGCAGCGTGGAAAAGGGCTTCCCATGGCTTCACCTCCACACAGGGAATTCTCCAATGGAGAGGGATCATTACATTAGAAACTGGTCCCATCCTTACGAGTATGGCTACCAGGGATCAAGCATATTTTATCTAAATTACAGCGGAATAAACTTCACACACATAAAATAATTATTAGCTCCGCTCAATTAAGAGTTTAGCCTAGAGAGAGAAAAAAAATTAAATAAAATAGAAGTACTCCTGAGAGAGATACCACAAAGAACATATACATCCAATTACGTAGCATTTTAGCAATGTGTGTAATTTAGACTTTAAACTGCGGATATGTTTACAATTGTATACGCAGTAATATACTAAAATACATATTAGTATTTTCAATTGAGCATCTTCCTAACGAGGTATTTAAACTGTATTTACTTTTCTACAGTAATATACAGAAGAAAGAAGGAAAAAAAAGCCCTCACAAATATTTTCTGACAAATTTATCAGTGGGAAAGCCTCAAGCTTTATTTGAAGCTCATTCCAGATTCTGAAAGCAAACCTTTGTGAAATCACATTAGTTTAACAGAAATTCATAAGTCAGAGAAAGAGAAGCCAAAAGCAATAGTTCGAAGTCTCCTGCTATGCTTTAACTTAGGAAGCCTTCCTTGTTTTCCATCCTCCCAACTTAAGCTATGTCGGTTCTCTCTGGATTTCTGACAGCAGACTCTGGAAGTGCTACTGACGGGCATCGCCTTCTCTTGGTTGTGTTTCAAACCCTCCCTCCCTACAGGTGGGCAGGCAGGACCAGCTGAACCACCCGAAAAGCTCTCTTTGGCTGTATTCAAGCTCTACTCCAACTTCCTTAATGAAACTGGCTACAGAAATAGTTCCCCCTTGATGCTCTCTGCAAAACCAAAATGCATTTTCAAAGTAAAGAACAAAACTGTAGCCTCTATAGGGATTGCAAAAAGATGAAGCCCAATCTGAAAGAGAAAATTTGCATCAACACACATTTTGTTTATTTTTCGTAAGAGAAGCACTTAAAGTTCATCATAGAACAAAAGAAGCAAAAAAGAGATGCTAGTGAAACGCCGGACAGGGCAGCACCCGTGCTCTGCAAACTGCTGAGGAAAAAGGTCGAGAGAAAAAAACCTGTTAACAGACAGAATCAAATTTATTATCCAATACTGTTTTAAAAAGTTTTTCTCAGGTTCCCCGTAAAATTCCTGTTCTTCATAATTTTCTGGAATTGCTATTGAAATGTCACACCCATCTCAAATCATATACCCTCATTTATATAATAATATATAAAAAATATAAAAATAAAAAGGCGAAGTAAAAGCAAGTAAAAAATATAAGCAAAGATATTTATTGTAAGGGATACTAGAAAGCTTAACTCTGCATGTTAGAAAAATCACATGAATCAAGAAAGATCCTTGTAACAGTAACAGCAACATCTCTTGAAAGTGATTGTAGATGTTGTATAATGTTTAAACATGCAATTAAAATTTACACTAC